TTCGCCTTTAACATACATTTTTAAGATTTCAGGCACGGCCTTTAGTTTTAAAAGGCAAATTTTTTTTGAAATTTTGTATTGCCTCTTCTAATTTAACTCTAAGAGGAAGAAATTTAACAAAATAATAATTTATTTTTAAGAAAAAAAAAAAAAAAGAATCCAATCCGGAAAGTAGTTCATAGACCTTTCATACTGTAGAAGCATTGACTCCTTACTCAGGGTGCATACATTCAGGAACTACACAACAGAACGGCCGTTTGTAATTATGGAAATGAATAAATATATTTATATATTTTCTTACTTTTTAGTTTTTTTAGACCCTGCAACCCTGAATGTTACACTTTATTTAGGGTTTGCATATCTTTCCGGGGGATCCGCCGCACTTACAATGCTTAGTTGTAACACAGATCACGACTGTTACCCTCATTAATGAAGCGTTACAACGCTTCTTTTCCTCATCCTGAATGCTTCATCTTCATGAATTTCGCATTAAAAACTTCATTTAAAAGTCTCAATCGTCACCGTCGTCTTCTAAACGACGGAAATTCGCGTGAAATTCCTCGAGAATGATAGAAATGGCGAGAAATATTTCGGTGTTTTGGCGATGTTTGGATGAAATTCTCACCTTTTCTTTTTTCTTACACATTTCCGGTCAGCCAATGTTAAAGAATTGCGAAGAAATTTTAAGTTTTTATCGAATTTCAAAGTGCGAAATGGTGAAATTCGAATGAAGATTTCATTTTATGACATGTTTTTAATCCAAAAATCGATGCGTTTTGCTGGGAATTTTAACGAAATTTCGTGTTTTTAAACGATAATAACGGGAATTTTGAAGAAATTTCAATGAAATTTTGAAGTTTTAAACTATATAAATAGGAATTTCGATCAAGTTTTCCCATTCTTGCCCAAATAATAGAAGAATTTCAAAGAAACTTTGAGCTTTGACACAGCATTCAAACCTCTCAAAATGAGAAATTTTCAATAAAATTAAGTGAAATCTTCACTTTAATTTAAAGAAAATTAAAGAATTTCAACGAAATTTTGAATTTATAACCATTTTTAACCCCAAAAAAACCCCAGAAATTCTCACTTAACGCTCGAATTACCTTGTTGTAAACAGCAAGAAGATTAAATTTGCATAAAATTTCCATAAAAAAAAAAAACATGGAAAATAACTGGAGAAAAGATATTTTAAGACGTCGAGTAATGAGAAAAATCCATTTTTTTCCCATAATTCAGGTCTAGTGTTACGTCATTTTAACATCTGTACTTGGTTTTCATTCAGGTTTTTTTAGAAAAAAAAATTCAAAAAAGAAAAAAATTCGAATTTTTGCCATTTATTCATTGGCTACTTATGTGTGACGTAATTTAATATATATATTGAGTTTTTTTTAGACGAAAAAAAATCATAAATAGAAGCACTAAAGAGTGTTGTAACGTGACGCCAACGGTTAAATTAGTGCTCTTTTTAAAATGCTTTTCTCGCGTGTTTATCATTGTTTAAATACATTCCTGCAATTGTTCTTGACTCGAAAATTACTCTTTGATGCGCTCTTTACGTTTTAAATACTGTATAAAGTTTCATTTATTTTATAGCCCCCTCCATGAGGGTTTTTTTAATGTAAATCTTAATTAAAACACACTACTAAAGTTCTTCTTCTGTAAAGTTAGAGCATTTGTAAGCCTTTATAAGCTCTCTATTCTCTTCATAGGGCTCTTATGTTGTTCTTCATAAGGTTAAGAACTCTTACTGCTCCCTACAAAGTTTAATGTTTCTTATAAGGTTAGGACTTAAGATAGACCCTATTAAGCCCCTTGTACTCTTCTTAGGGCTCTTATATTGTTCCTTACAAAAGTAGGGCGCTCTTATTAGGTTAAAACCTTAAGATAGACCCTATTTAGGTCCCTGTACTTTTATATTGTTCCTTATAAAATTAGGGCGCTCATATTATTCCATATAAAGTCAGGATATGTAGTTCTATTTAAGACACATATTCATATACTATTTTCTATAAGGTTAGGCCATAAGGGCCCTTTTAAGTTCCCTACGCTCTTCGCAGGCCCTTAAGTTGTTCCTTATAAAGTTAGGAGAGTTAAAAACTGTTTTAAGTGCCCTTTGCTCTTCATAGGGAATTTTTAAGTGTCTTGTATTGCTTCGTACAAAATTGCTCTTTAAGCAAGCTTTATGCCTTTTAAGCCCTTTTTTAAAGCTTTCATATTGTTTATAAAGCCGTAAAGTAGCTTAGTTTATAAACCTTGTATATTTAATGTTATAAAATGTGTACGAAATTATACGAATTTTTTTTATTGTAACTACACTTCTCAACCAGTAGCTCTCGATCGACAGGGTTCGTATCTCTAACGCGATTTTCTAGCGCACTAATGAGAAAGGTTGAGGAACACTATCATACACTAAGCTAGTAGCATTATTATGACGTAGTATGGAGAATATTAACATGCCAATGAATTTCTTGAACTAATTAATATGTTTATTTAAAGGAAATTAAATTTAATTACAATTACATTAATGAAAATATTCGTGGCACACACTATTTACAGTGTAGTTAAGAAGCTATTAATTGTTAATTTAATATTTAATGATGAATTATCCTATAAACAAATGGAAATAAATTAATTATCCTACTTTTTTATACGTTTATAAATATGTTTAAGTGAATTTAAAGAAGATTTTCTTTAAATTTTATGGTATTTTTCATATAAAATTCCAAATTTTTAAGGTTTTAATCATTTAAAATTGATTGTAAGTAGATCCAAGGAGCGTGGCACCACTACTCATCGATAGTTTCTTAAGATTCTCCATTAATTCCTACAAAATTTTCACACAAAATCGAGAATTTTATGCTTTAACTCCATTAAAAAAAACGATTTAACACCATTCTTTAATCATTTAGATGTAATTTTATGTGGATTCAACGAGCGTGGCACCATACGTTCATTAAGGGATTCCTTCAGATTCTTCTAATTTTCACGAAATTTTAACGCAAAATTTCAAGCATTTCACGCTCTAATTTCATAAAAATCAAGTTTAAATAACATTTCTAATCACTTAAATTAAGTTCCACGTGGCTCTAAGAATCGTGGTACCCCCCACTTGATTAAATTAAATAGGTGCCACGCTCCTAGGATCCATGCAAATGAATCCAAAGAATGTGATATCTCTAATTATTTCAAGCTTTGTGGCGTTAAATAGGGGTTCCACACGGTATTAAAAATATGAAACCTCTATTTAACGCCATTTACCTTCGGAGTCGAACAATCTTAAATAAGGATTTCGCGTGGCTTAAACGCGCTTCTGGGTGGGTTTTATGGCACTCGTTGGATTTTAGACGGCGTTAAACGGGGGTTTTCCCTCTACTGTGATGACTTCTTATGGAATTTAATTTAAATTTGTTTCATATTAAACATGGCATTAAATGAGATTCTCGGCGGTACTAAACTGGGTTCCTCGTGGCATTAATTAGGAACAAATTATCATTTACTACTAATTAAATGACGTTCAATATAATTTGTGTAGCGTTAAACAGGGTACTTTAATAGTACGTCATTACACAGGGTTTCCTACTACATAAAGCATAATTTCCGGGTGCGGATAAGCTAAAGAAGCCGCAGCATCTTTAGCTCATCATCCCCCGAAATTACGTTTAAACTACGTTCAGGGCTAATTTTATTTGGATCCCCCATTCGAAACTTTTAGATAAATTTGCCGTGTAATTCGTTATAACGTCGAAGAAATTGAAGGGAGAAAAAAAAAAATTGGCAAATTAATTCGTTAGACGTATCTGGACGTCGCCATTTTGTAGATAGCATCAAAAAGTAGCGAAGTGTAGAAGTGAAAGAGAAAGATAGAGTCAAGTAGTCAACGAAACGGAACAAAAGATAGGGGAGGGCTTTCATATCTCGTCTCATTTAGACAGCGATGAGATACAAATGAGCATTTTTCTGCTTGTTATCTGCTTTGAATCGGAATGACTTCACCAACTTCCAACCTATCTCTTGGCTTTTAACATTAAGTAGAAGGCAAAGATAGCGAGTGCAATTCATCCCCCACCTTCTACGTCTTCTTCTTCTTCTTTCGGGAGGAAAAAAAAAGTACTCTTCCGTGCCATCTGGCAATAATTAAGATTATTTTTCACCCATCTGGAACCTTCAGTTTGGTGTGGTGGAGCCCTTTTTAATAAGATCCTGCTCTATGGAGAATTTCTTCTAGGTGAAAAATATGTAAATTCTTCTCTAATTTCGTCTTTTTTTTTATGGTTAAAAATGGGAGAAATGTAGAAGAGGGAGGTCGAAATCACTGTTAAGTCGTATTTAATGCCTTGTGGCTCTATAGCGTACAACGGGCCCTTCTTCTTGCCTTGTATTGCAAATATGTGAGGCCCTAAGCTGCGCTTAACTTGCGTGCAAATTCGCTTCTCCCCAAAATTGCGTTTAATGCTGTAGAAAATCCCTGTTTAATGATGTAGTATTTAGTTCTGTATAAACTATGTTTAATATCACTTAATCAGCATTAAATAATAATTTATTCCCTAATCAATGCTATAAGGGACTCAATTTAGTATGAACCGAATTTGAATTTAATCACACACGAAGTTATGCTCACAATATTGATAAAAACCCTGTTTAACACCGTATAAAATTGAATTGATGCCGTAAAAACCCCGTTCAATGTCACCCAGAACCGTGTTTAATGCCACACGAAACCCTTATTTAACGCCATACGAAAATCGAAAAAAAAAAACACTGTTTAATGCTACCGGAAATCATGTTAATTTCTGTACAAAACTATTATATGCGGCACAAAAATCGTGTTTAACGCCCAAAAATCACGGGAAGAAACGCTAAAAATAGAAAAATTCTAGAAGATTTAAGCTTTCTAAAACATTTTTCTAGAATATTTTTTAAAAAAAAACCGATAAGATAATGTAAAATTCGCATTGCAACACAAAAGAACTTCAGGAGGAACCAAATTTAAACTTCCTAATTCATCTGCTTTATTTACAAACGTTACAAAATAATTCTTCCTGAAGGCAAGGCCTCATAAAACCATTTTATAATTCAATGTATACTAAATATTTTATTTTTATATTAATATTAAAAAAGGCTTCCATTTGCGGACAAGATTGGCACAGTTAAAGGCTTTAGAAGGCACAATATTAGACGATGAGTCGTTAACGTTAGATAAAGAATTCTGCCAAGAAAAAAAAAATTAATAATGATAAAAAATAAACCACGTGACGATCCTCATCCTCGGGATGATTCTTTTAAGTCTTCTTAACAAACAGATCTCCGTAATTTTCAATTCCGCGGGTCCCTTAAATGGTTAAAATGTTACCAAAATTCCGCGTACACCTCAAGAAAAATACTGATCTAGAAGCTCAGAAGACTAAGATTAACAAAGCTCTCAAGCACTTCAGAAGCACTATATTGATGTTTCGGGCACTTTTATCTTCCTGTCAGATTGTCAGACCGCGGATTCCAGCAGCAAACTGTCCGGAATAGTAGAAAGATGTCTTCAAATCCATGCCGGAATGATGCGAGTGCGTCATGCTGTTATATGGATGATTCGATACATAATGATCACCCGAATGTGGGAACATGGTGGGCGCAAAGGTAGTGCTTCCGGGATCGGTTCCTTGAGTAGATTGGCTGGAAGGCCACCCGTTGACCGATCTGTTCCACTCATCCGGTTGCATTGATGACGATGCGGACGGATGAAGCTGATGGTTGGACGAAAAGTCGGCATTGTTGATGGATTGCATAGAAGAGGGTACATTGGCATGCAGCATGTTCATTACCTGAAATGGAAAAAATAATGTTAATTAAAGGCCCGTATTTTTTTATAATGAATTTCCAGCAATGTGGGGTGCAAAATTAAGCATTCATAAGCGGGTAATTTAATTTTCGTTACTAGATGGTCACTCATGCAAATGAGGTTCCACCCAAAGGCTGCTCTTTGCATTCATCATTAAATTAATTAAAATTAAATCTTTTTATGTGTATGTGTTGTGTGTATATATATATATATACAGAAAAGCGGCAAGATAAAAAGGAAAATTTCCGTAGTTCCGCCATTTTGTGATTGCGACTATTAAAGAGGGGGACGGGGGATTTTACAACAAACGATTCTTCACAGAGCAACACTACAACCGGATGCATTTTCAATCGAAGAACATTTTTCATACGTTTCTAAACCAAAATTAAATGAAAGATAATGGAAATAGCAGATAATCTTTCCCCCAATGTTCCGTCCATTTACAAACCACCTGTTGTTTTGTTTGAACAATAGAACCTGTATACCCCTTCCGACAGGCCGCCTCTTATTGTTTTGCACACATGTTGCTGGCTACCGTTGTCTCTATACAATTAATCATGTCTCCAACATCAAGTAATTCTTTCCCCCGAGGAAGTACGTTTTGTTCCATGAAAAGGAGCAACAAAACGTTCTGCAACGTCTTCCCTTTCAAAGGCCACAATAACGCTTCATCTTCAATCGTTCCGATGAAAGAACTTTACAGCACTCGACAGATGCCACTACTTAATATTGAGCCATTTTACGGCTGAGTGAAACGAAATTTTATACTCTACCCTCCGTGTGCCCGTGGTTGAGCCACGCTATGAGCTTTACAAAGGGCCTGTGATGTTGTAACACATTCTTACCTAAGAAGAATGTATTATTACAGTATTACAGAGAGCAGAAGCAGTCTTGTGACTAGTTTAAGCGCAATTTAAATCCTACACGTCATGAGCCACATTCAGGATCTGTATCACGTTCTTACTCGTAAAGGTGTATGTATGAGCAAAGTCAGTCGTGATTAGATTAAGCCAAATTTTACACCCTACCTTCGACGTGCACACGGTAAGCCACACAGGTTTTAAATTGCCTGAGGCGTTGTAATTCATCCTACCTGAGGAGGAGGAGCAGACGAACTTGAGTAAGCGAAATTTTGTACTTTGTCCCCCCAAGACTCACAACATTGGGTCTAGGGTGCGTCAATGCTCTCTTACTTGAGGAGGATACACGAATATTATGTAATAGGGAGAGTAGAAATCGGTGACTCGACACCCCCCCCGTAGAAGGCCTGTAAGATGCTCTTACCTGAGATGGAAGAGTGGACGCAGTGTTGACGTAAGCAGAGTCAGTCATGTGGCTAGGGTAAGACATAGAGGTCCTATTATCCGCCACAGTTTGATGATGTAGAGGAACAGTAGTGTTGGCCTGGCTCGGATGATGCAAGGTGGACGGATCTATAAAGTGTTTTGCCATGAGAATCCATTGAAAATTTCCCATTCAAAATCACTTTTCATACCTTGTGTGGGCGTAGTGTAAGTGGGATCCGATAACAAATAAGGTCCACTAGCCGGAAATGCCATAGGTAGACTCAAAGCACTGAATCCATTTAGCTGCTGGCTGCCCATCTGTTTCCTCCATCTGGCTCGACGATTACTAAACCATACCTAAATTTGAATCATAGATTAGTTAAATACACCTCATATTTGTATATCCCGTATCGGTTTACAGGCAAGAAAATCCTTTGTAAGGATTCTTTCTCCCCCTGTTTCCTCTAAAAAAAAGAAAAAAAAAACTATTAATATAAGGCCCGAGGGTAACCATCTGGATGATGTCAGCGAAGACAAGGGACAAGCGATACAATCAGGCCTTTGCACCTCACCTACCGCAGTCTAGGCGCTAGTGTTACAAGGCGGAGCTTTCTATCATTCATTTTCTCACCTTTGATGTACATGTTGACGCCTTCTCTAAGGATTCCTGTCATCCGTGACCCCGGAGTCAATCTATGACCCACCAAATGATCCGATCCGATGTTATTACTCCTCGTGTAATGGTGTGAAGGGACAAGAATCAATTAGGGCCTTGTCTATCTCCACATCTGATGCTGCAAGGTGTGGCCGTTCGCAGTGACAAATGTACTTAATGGATTTACTACCGAATTCGTCTTTCGTAGGGGCAATTAGTTAGAACGCTTCAGACATTACTAAAGCGTTTAAATGGAAGAGATCCTTCAAGGCCGGATGTTGTAAGGGCCTCATACATATTGTGCTAAACGCTCTTATCTATGAGTTATGATAATTTCTAAACTGTTTATTGTGTAAATTTGCCATAAGAAAAATTTATAAAACAGCACCATTCTCCCATTATTCCGAGTTGAAATCGTTGTAGAAGCCCAGCGTTTTCAGCTCGATAGTAATGGGAGAATGATGCATATGCGGATCAATTTCAGCGATTTTTCGTGCTTTTGGAGAGCCAAAAACTGTTTAATTATTAATTAAAATATTATCTAAAGTCTATTCTATTTAACTACTAATTGATTCGATTATAAATTAAATAATTAATCCTTATTTTTAGCAATAATTAAACATATTCTAATGGAGACAGACTTGTCAAGAAACTTGCTTTGTCGGCGAGTTAAACTAAAATTAGTGAAAAATTCCCAATTATTTATGGAAATTTTAATCTTTTAATAAATAAAATTAATAAGAAATCATTAAAAATATTCAATAAAATTCTGTAATATTCTCGCAGAGATCTGTGTTAAGGTAATGCACCATTGCACTTCGGATTACCTTCACCACCTTTGTACTCAGGTCGTGAGTTCGCATCCCTCGTAAGGATACGAACCCGCGGCATTTATATTTAAATTCTTAATAAGGAGTTGAGTTTAGAGTTGATTCTATTTAAATTAAGCTTAGCTCTTAACTACATTAAATCGTATATTAACGCGGTATGAAAGCTTATCTTCCTAACGAAATCTAGAACATCCTAGTTTAATTGTATAATAAATAAAATTATATATTAATATTTTAGGTCCTAAACAACTTTATAAGTTTCCTAGAATATAAAAATTTATGCTAGAATATCCTATGATCTTTCGTAATCTGGAGCATCTTCTCGTTAAATTTTTTCCTATAACAATTCTTATTTTCTACTATTTTTATGGTAATATTTTTAATTATATTAAGTGAAATTAAGTTAAATGATAAGAAAATAATATAAATATTTATATTTTAATGTAAAATTTTAAGAAAAGTAAGCTCAAAATCGCGAATTATTCGTAATTATCGTAATGAGTTAATGAAGATCTGAGTAAATTTAAAGTAGGGTTCGTAATATTTTAGGGCTTAATATCGATTAATATGTAAGGAAAAATTGCATATAGGGTCACAGATAATACACTTTCCCTCTCTGAAAAGTACTATATCAATTCATCAGATAGTTATCTCTTCCTAAAGCGACAAGATACCCATTGCCTGATATTATCCATTTATCATTCGAGGTTGTAAATTAAAAACTAAAATAGGAGCGTTCGCACGAAAAAATATGTAGATGAAACTCCTCAAAATGCCAGAAAACAAACCCGAGGGTAAATGTACCCATTCTACACTTACTAAAAATAAAATAATTTTTAAGATAAACCGATTAAAAATTATTAAATCGTTCAATTAAAAATTAACTAATCGAATTCGACTTTCCAACCGATAGATCGCGATCCCTTTAAAGTCTGCCGAATTCCCCAATATCTTTACGGTCCTCCGGGATGGATGTTTAATTAAGGAAAACGTTTAAAAAAATCGATTTAAATTATACATTTAAGTATAATTTTAAGAATTTTATGGATTTTAATTTGGTTTTTCTCACCTGAACTCGTGCCTCTGTCAATTTAGTTCTTTGGGCCAACTCTTCCCTTGTATAAATATCCGGATATTGGGTTCTTTCGAAGGCTTTCTCCAATTCGTCCAATTGAGTAGCAGTGAAAGTAGTTCGTGACCTTCTCTGTTTCCTTTTTAATGTCAATCCGGGTTCAGAATCGCAATCCGAATGGCACACGTCTTCGCTTTCCCTTTCTAAAATTCAAAATGCCTACGTTTAGCAAATAAATATTTGATTTTAATTAGATTTAAAATGCTAGAGAAGAAGAATTAAGGCACACCACTTTAAGGATTTATAGTGACCTGTAGCAATTAAGGCCCTATAGCCATCTAAATGCAGCAGAGAATCATCTAGTTCAATGGCAGAGCAAGAAAATTTTATTTGTTTCGCGACACTTTTTAAATAATAATAATAATAATAATAATATGAATTTACTAAATACTAATTATCATATACTAATTTAATAACGAAACAATTATTTAGTACTGATTTACTGAGCCAAAACCCCAGAGATGAGCTAGGGCCAGCTCCAAAAATAAATGAAGGAGCTCATTCTATTCGAAGGCCATACGGGGGGGAAAAATCAATTTTTTGAAAAAATTTTGAGGGCCTGTCCGACCCTTCTACCAAATAATCCACTGCCCTTCAAATTCCTATAATCCCCATATCTTTTGCATAAGAGAGTAAATTCTGAGGGCCCTCCTTATTGGGGTCTAACCAAAAGCTCTTATATTTTGCTTCATAACACTTCATTACCGTATCTTCCACACAAATGAATAAATCTCGAAGCCCCCGTAAGAACGAGGCCCGGAACGAAATGCCCCTCCAGGCCCCTTGCAAAGAACTACAATTAAAAAAACAACTCATCCATAATTTTACCAGGACCTTATATTCATTTCCTAATACCTAAACGAACAATCAACCCTTCTGAAACCCAACCCACAATTACTAATGACCCGCCCAAAAATGTCTCCTAATTATTAAAAAACTAAACCCCCCCAAAGAAACATTTATATTTTATAAATTTTAGTAAAATATTATTTTTATTTTTAATTTAAACTCGAAGAATGTACGTATATATATATATATATATATATATAGGGCCTATATATGGAAGTGGCAGATGTAAAGCCTGTAATTAGCGTTGAATTTCGGTTGTGACAAGACCAGTTCTAATAGAAGGTCGCAACTAAACATTTCATTAGACACGATGTAGAAAACAACAGGTATCATCTCGGCCCCATTATTCTCAGATGTTCAGCTCTCCGCCCTCTTATTCCGTGTCAACCTACCTGGGTGGGCCAAACAGGGGTGTGTCTGAATAAGTTCTTCTGTAAAAATCTTCCCCCCCAGTTATTTTTATTATTATTTTTATTTTTTATTATTATTTCCACTTCATACAATGACAGTTTTAAAGCGAGAAATATTCGATTTTATCGCGCGTAATTTGTTTTAAAAAATATTAAAAAAACGATAAAGAATTGTTTGAGGATTAAATATCGCTTGGGTTGGATCGTTTTTTAAAATGGGCGGCGATATATATATATAATAAAAAAACTGGACACGCCCATAATTATTCATTGGTAAAAAAATAAAATTACGTCGAAATTCTTCCCCCAATAGAATCTTTTTTCATCGATTTCGTCGCCGGAGGTTTCTATTGGCTCGCTTAACGAATATAATTAACTCACGATTTGAATGTCCGACCAATAAACGTTGAGATCGTTCGTCGTGACGTAGGAGAAAAATTTTATTTGTTTATTTTTTCATGAATTATTAATTAGTCGTTTAAAAAAAAAAACGTAACTTAAAAATACAGATTATTTAAAATTCTATTTATTTATTTATTTATTACACGGGGTGGACCTAAAATCGGTTAACTGTGTGTATATAAGGCTAATTCCCTATTCTTTAAAACACACACACATATATATAGGGTGGCCCAAAAGTCAGTTAATACAATTTCTGCCTTAATTACACTCTTTTTTAACTTATTTTTATTACTCATATTCACAAATTTCACTTGAAACACGCGCATATACACACCAGTTAACTAGCTTAACCCATATAATTAATTTCTATATAATAAATTTACTTTAAAGTCTATACACGGGCCTGCCCAAAAGTCAGTTAACCACAGTACAGTCTAAATTCCTGCCTTATTTGGATATTTATTTACAGAAAGGCGCGTTGTTCTAAACTCAGTTTAACCTTTAACGTTTAAAAGTGTACCTGAATGGTTAACCGACTTTTGGGCCCCCTTATTCCTTTACATATTTTCTGCTATATTAAAGCGTAAATTAATATTAAGAAACTAATTAACTCATGCATAACCACAAATTAATTGTTAATAGTATTAATAACAATTAGACGTTTTACATCAATTAATTATCGATTGCAATTTAACGCCATTAATACGATTTTTAATGCTTAATTAATTAACAAATATATCATATTTAAATGCTCATCGGGTTTTAAATTAGCTTTAAAAATTGATTAAGAAAATATTTTAAATTTAAAAAAAAAACGAAATTTAATTCTATTAAAAGAAAACATTATTTTGGGGATTTTTTTTTTTTGGATAATTAAATATAAATTTAACGAGAAAATCCCTTGATTGATTGATTATCAGAGGCTGATTATGATTAATATAACAAGCGCGTGACTCGTAAATAATTAACCAATAAAAAAAAACTTGACTTTTGTTTAAAATTAACTCCTGTTTCTTATTATCAACTGCTATTGGTTTAAGTTTTAACTATAGGTTAAAATTAACCAATAAGATTTAATAATTGATTTAAATTTGTTAACAGTGCATAATTATTTAAAAAAAATTAATTTATGAGTTTTTTTCGAAATTTTATAAAGAAAAATTAATTTCTTTTATCATATTTACCTTTAATTTTAACAATTTATCCGTATTTTTTTAATGTTAATTTTTATTCTTAAGTGAGGCTTTAAAAGGAAGTGGCGATGACGTACTTTATGAGTATAATATTTTTTAAATTAAAAATTGAAGAAATGTTTTAAAAAATGCTATTTTCTTATATAATTTTAACATATTTAAGCATAATTTTACAGTTTTATTCATGTAAATTATATATTTTAAAGTGCCGCTTTGTAGGTCGATGACGCAATATATGAGTAAAATTTAAACAAAAAAAAAACAATTAATTGACGAAATTCTTCTGAATATTTCGTGAGAAATATGTTTACTTGATCGTATTCACGCTTAATTTTAACAATTTTATCCATATTTTTTTCGCACAAATACTTATTTTTGAAGTGCCGCTTTGAAGGTCGATGACGTAATATATGAGTAAAATATTCATTTTTTTTTTAAATTTAATAATTGCTTTAAATAATAATAAAAGAGTGTCAATTTTATTGTTCTCTGTAATGCACTGGAGCTGAAATAATTTACGAAACGCTTTAAAAATATGCATGAAGTCGAATAAAAATCCTCACAAAGAAACAATCCGGAAGAGTGCCAACGAGACTAATTTTCGCATTAAAAAAAATAATAAAGTTGCTTACTATCGTCCATTGAGGTCGTTATGCCCCGAAGCATATCCACCCCAAGACAATAAGTTTTAGTTAATAATTCAAAAAAGAAAAAGAAAATGGAACCCATTCACGAGGCATACTTATGCAAATGAGGGCGCAAGAGGGACGTCTTAATGAAAAGACAAGGGCTAAATTTACTCGCTCTTCTTCCCCCTCCGAGGGTATCATAAAAATCAACACTCGCAGGCATATCTTTAACTCAATACTTACAAAAGGGGGGGGGTTGCTTCAGGTAACGGTATTTTATCGTAGCGGTAACGTTACCCTGGGAGGGCACCAGCTGTTATCTTCATTCTTTAGGGGGGAGGCTACTGATAGTTGGATAAGATGCACATAACGGGCCACACACACACGCGCCCGACGTTAAGCTCCCGTGTCTGATAGTATCAGCACGCCTCGATTGCTATCTCCTCACTCTCATTCCGCCCCGACAGAAAGTTGATGTTTTCGGTCCACCTGGCCGGAAAGAGCCGAATTTTTTTTTTTTTTTTTTGTTTTCGGAGGGGAAGAACGTCTTCGTTTACGTGTAACCCTCGAATTTGGCAACTCGCTCGGTTTCGGGGAGGGCGGAGATTCTTCTTTTGTATCGATTGCTGCTGTTACGAGTGCATTCCTTTGCTTGTTTTCAACGTTCCTAATTACTTTTACACTCTAAATGTTATGAGATTTTTATGCGTTCGTCTGTCTGTTCGTGCGTGTGGGCTTAAAAAAGAAAAAGAGGTAAGAAATGCCTTCGTTGGTTGAGCGTGTGTGTGTGTTTCTATGTGCGCTACGCGATGAGGAGAGGAAAATTCGAAAAATAACCCACTCTAGCGACGAACAGAAATAGTAACCCATACAAATGAATGAGTTAAGCACTTTTTTAAATTCGTTAGCGTACTTTAATACCCACATCTAAAGACCCACTGCACTCTAAATTAAGCACTAAACGAACAGTAAGTCAGCTTACAACACGCAAAAACAGCCACCCCAATATAATTTTAAGCAACATTTATTTAATTTGCAATATAAATTTAAATTATTTTAAGGTTTATAAGCGTGTTTTTATAGCTTAAATGTCTTCCCGTAAGGTAACATAGCTGTAATGTATATTTCTATAAGAGAGTATTGTTATTTTTGGGCATTTATAAGTCTTATAAATGTAATTTTGGAATGAAATTATTATTTAAAATATAAATTTTATAAGCAATGTTTTTTTTAATACAAATCTATATTTTGGGGTCTTTAAACTTGTTTTAATTAGTGTAAAAAGGTAAAAATTAATATTTTGGAGTCAAAAGTGCAAAAAATATTGCTTATTTAATTCTTTAAAAACGTTTAAATTTTATAGAATTTTATTAAATAAAATCACTTTCTTTATTAATTCAATTAAAAATATTAAAAATAAATGTTTAATTCGCTATAACGGAGGTATATAGGATGGTGCTGGAACAGAATTTCTGCATAAAAGTTTACGAATTTTTGCTAAATATTTAAATATTACATTATTTTTTAATAACAAACATTCAATAGATTAATAAATAACATTAAAATATTTAAAAATAAATCAATTTTCTATAAATATTAAGCATTAAATCAGACGTTTCCATGAAGTTACCAGAAACAGCAAGCAGCGACCGTTTATAGA